CCTGGCCAGTCCCTACAGACTCGGGCTCAGGATCTGAGTGATGCAATTATGAAGCTAGACTCCAGGCCCAGTGCTGCAAACCCAAGTGCAGTCCAAACCATTCAGAGACCACACCATACAGAAATCTCTGGATGAGCTGACTATTGAAAGGCTTTCTCTGCTAAAGCCACTGGGCTGGAATAAGTATGCAAATCAACAAATACACAAACACCAACACTTGGCCTCAGGATCATAAAAAAAAAAAAAATCAGAAAAAAGAACACCATCAAATAATAAAATACAGCAAAAGTAAATGATCCTAAAGAAATAGAGATTTACAAAGTACCTAACAAAGAATTCAAAATAATCTTATTAAAGAAATTCAGTGAGCTGTAAGAGAATACAGACACAGAGCTAAACAAGTTGAGGGAGAAAAAAACAAACCAAATGAGACGTTCAACAAAGAGAATCATTTAAAAAAAATCAAACGAATTCTATAGCTAGAGAAAACAAATGACTGAATTGAAAACCTCCCTAGGGAGTGAGCTTGAAGACCAATCATCTAAAATCACTAAATCAGTGAAAGAGAAACAAAAAAAAATGAAAAAGACTGAAGAATGGCCAGATATGGTGGCTCACGCCTATACAAACCTAGCATTTTGGGGGGGTTGAGGTGGGCACACTGCTTAAGCCCAGCCTGGGCAACATGAGAAAATCCCAACTTGACAAAAACAAAACGTAGCCAGGCGTGCTGGTGTGTGCCTATAGTCCCAGATACTTGGCAGGCTGAGGTAGAAAGACGACTTGAGCCAAATGGCTCTACCAAGTGGCTTCCCCATCTCTCTCCCTCTCCTTGGGCCTCCCTATTCCTTGTGACAACAATATTGAAATTAGGCCAGTTAATAATCTTACAGTGGCTCTAAGTGTTCAAGGACAAGAAAGAGTCACATATCTCTCACTTTAAATTGAAAGATTAAGTTTAGTGAAGAAGCCATTTTCAAGGCCGGATTAGATGGCTCATGCCTGTAATCCCAGCACTTTGGGAGGCTTAGGCAGGTGTATCACCTGAGTTCAGGAGTTCAAGACCAGCCTGGCCAACATGGTGAAACCTCATCCCTACTAAAAATACAAAAATTAGCAAGGCGTGGTGACAGGCGCCTGTAATCCCAGCTACTCGGCAGGCTAAAGCAGAATTGCTTGAACCAGGAGGCGGAGGTTGCGGTGAGCCAAGACGGTATCATTGTACTCCAGCCTGGGTAACAAGAACGAAACTCCGTCTCAAAAAAGAAAAGAGCTTAACAAGGAAAATATAATTCTGCTAGCCCAAGGACAGACCTACAACAGGCAACAGCATAGCACATTATTCATTATTTTAAAACAGGCATATATTGGAGTGAATGTTTCACAAGTTTTTAACTGATGAAGTTACTCAACAACAACAAAGAACCTTGGAGGATTAGACAATAAAGAGATGAAGAAGATTTGGGAGCAGCAAATATAATTAGAGCCATAATTCTTAAAGATTAATTTGACTACAGTACATTAGAAGATGAATTTAAAGTGGAAACAAATTTAGAGGTTACTCTCTAATATTCAGTCAACTTAGATTTCGTTAGCAGTAATAAGAACCGACATTATTTCAGATATATTACAAACAAAACAGACAAGTATTTTACAACATTATTATTTGCAAGCAAGGGAGAATGAACAACAAAGTTGGCTTTATGATTTCTTCAAGCTTAGGCTAGGAAGAGGATACCATTAATAGAAAAAGCTAATATTGGAGATAAAACAGATTTGTAAGGGAAGTTCAAGAGAGAAATTTTACATACACTGATACAAATGGAGAGGCAATGAGGAAAAAAAAAAAAAAAAAAAAATAAATACACTGATACAAATGGAGAGGCAATGGAAGAAAAAAAAAAAAAAAGCAAAAGAACTTCCATGCCTTCTCATTTACAATTATACCCTCTCTTTAACTTGACTGTGAAAACACTGCTTGCATATATGACGTGTAACATTTTTAAAACAGCTTTGAAATATAATTGACATATTGTAAAATTCATCCATTTAAAGTATAAAACTGTGGTTTAGTATTTTCACTGTATTGTACAAAACAGTCACAATTTTAGAACATTTTCCTTATCCCAATTTGTTTAAATCTCTCCATTTAACCCTGTGAAAGAGGCTGTTTCCTCATCTGTATAATGGTAATATCACCTCCCCCACAAGACATGAGAGTTAAAAAAAAAAAAAAAAAAAAAAAAAAAAAAAAAAAAAAAAAAAAAAAAAAAAAAAAAAAAGAAGACACGTTAATGGTAAGGCTAGCTCAATGAGAAAAAGGTAATATTACACAGACAGAGAAGCTGAGGTAACAAGACAGTTTTGACAGAAAAAAGAAGGGCACAGAAATGCCACTTGAGCATAAAACGAAAATGTTTACTAGGTAACTGTGAAAAATGTTAAGAGCAATGGTTTTCAACCCTAGATCCTTTTCAACCTATACACTTTTAAAAAACAGAGATGCCCGGTCAGGTGCGGTGGTTCACGCCTGTAATCCCAGCACTTTAGGAGGCCGAGACAGGTGGATCACCTGAGGTCAGGAGTTCAAGATCAGCCTGGCCAACATGGTGAAACCCCATGTCTACAAAAATACAAAAAAATTAGCCAGGCATAATGTTGTGCACCTGTAATCCCAGCTACTCGGTAGGCTGAGGCAGAAGAATTGCTTAAACCTGGGGGGGGGGGGGGGGGGGGAAAAAAAAGTTGGTTAAACGGGGGGGGGGGAGGGGAGGAGAAAAAAAGAGACGCCCATTTCTACTTCCCAAATTTTGTGTTATTACTTGTTAGCCACTAGATTTCATAAGGAACTACGGCTATAGCCTTTGGTTTTCCAAATTCCAGATGTTTTGTGGGAGTGGTGTTGAGTGAACTAACGTTTTACACTGGTATGTCTCTTCTCACACGGACTTCACAAACATGGCTCTCAAAACAATAGTGTCTGAGTTTCTGACTCCAATTTTAATGATAACTGTATATACACTTACACTGAAAAAGCTGTGTAAGTTGAACAAGCATGTCACAGATAATGAGTTTTAGAGATTTACCTTGATTTGATCAAGGGTCTCAGTCACAGATATGAGAGGGGTACAACGTACATTCATGCTTTTCATTCATAACTTACCAAAGTGATAATAACTTTACATTTACTTGTGTGATTGTTTGACTCATGTTAACCTTATCCTTTAGAATACAGGGGGACTATATCTTATTTCATATACCATACCACTATCGAGCACATAGTAAATGCTTAAATAATACTTAAATGAAAGAATGAAATAGACTCTATCCCAGATCTCCAGAATCTACATAACTAGGTATTGGACCCTGTGTATCAGGGAATATATACTGAAAAGAGAATTATGCTGAAAATGAAATAGTGAGCATCATCCTCATAAAGCTAGAAACTACATTCAAGAAAACAAGAGTAGGCGGGCATAGTAGCTCATGTTGTAATCTCAGCACTGTGGGAGGCCGAGGCAGGCAGATCACCTCAGTTCAGGAGTTCAGGACCAGCCTGACCAACATGGTGAAACCCTGTCTCTACTAAAAATACAAAAATTAGCCGGGTGTGGTGGCACGTGCCTGTAATCCCAGCTACTCAGTAGGCTGAGGCAGGAGGATTGCCTGAACCCGGGAGGCGGAGGTTACAGTGAGCCAAGATAGTGCCACTGCACTCCAGCCTGCTTAACAAAGTAAGACCCTGTCTCAAAATAAAAGAACAACAGTACTTATCCATTTAAGTGGAACAACAAAGAAACATCTATGGCAACAACAGATACCAAAAGTACTGTGGATGAAATAAATGTTACAAGACAATTGAAAATAAAAGTGATGTTTTCTAAGAGATTATACTTAGTGTGATACTCAACCTATGGTAACATTTTATTAATTTAGACAAGACTCTAGATTGGTTAAGTAGCCTGTGAATGAAATTATCCTACCATGGTAGATAAAGGTAAGACTTTATTATGTTTTGCATAGCATTAATTCTCATAATAACTGTCTTTCTCCACTTCACTGATTAGGAAATTAAATCACAGGGCTTCAGTATAATTCTAGTCACAAAGCAAGAAAGTGATCTAAGATGTATGAAATTTTTATATCATTAAATTATGAAATATTTTCTGAAAGCCAATCAAAAATTCCATTTATGACACCATATAATTCTCCCTGACAGAAACTACCAATTTAGCTACAACAAGCCAGCCATAAAACTTTCAAAAGCAAAAATTTTGAGTTTCCTGAAAATCAGTTTAAAAAAAAAGTGATAACTTTTAAAGAAAGTGAAATTCACTAAAGAATTTCTCTATTTTTTCAGGATATCTTCCCCTTACGATCCTAAAACAAATACAAACTACTAGAAATACTAGAAATATTTATCATTAATTGAGTTAAATCATTAAGACACTTTTACCTATAAGAAAAATCGTGTTAGTTTATATTGCATGTATAAAGTATTTTACAAAAAGGAATCACATGGATTTAATTTATTATTCAAGTATTACTCAAAGAACCTCCAAAGATACAAATTTCCTTAGGAGTGCCTTATAAACAAGGTATTTTAAAACTAGAAGACAGTAAAAATGAAAGGAATTAGAGAATCAACTTCACTTTTATTTTTAAGAGACTGTGTCTTACCATGTTGCCCAAGCTGGACTCAAACTCGAGGGCTCAAGCGATTCTCCCACCTTAGCCTCTGGAACTTCACGCATGGGCCTACTTTGTTTTATTGTTTGTTTTGAAAGTCATCTTTAATTTCCCTCACAACTGTTTCCTAACACAGTAAGTTAATAAATATTAGTGTTTACATTTACTTCCATAAAATGTATTAGACCTTGTAATTAGCAGATACTTAGTAATGACAAGGCTAACAATTCCTCTGTCCTAATTATTCCTAAAACATGCAAATTCATCATATTCTAAGTAAAAATCCAAAAGATCACTTAGTATAGACTTACCCAGGTTTCCTTGCTCGATTGTCAGCACCACCTCATCCATCACCACAGCCCTAAAGTCCAGTTCCTCCTCACAACATTTGGCCTTCAATGCTCGTAAAATCTCTTTTTGAGGATAGTCTTCCCTGATGCGACGATCTGTCAAAAACCACAACTTGGCAGCCACGGAGCTACACATCTTGATCAGCTTGTGCTTCCTTGCCTGGATTATTTCCTCTTAGATGTAACGTCTATCTAGATGGAAAAGAAAATATACATACAAGGTAAACCAAGAAATCTATTTGATTTCTGGATTTCATACAAGTAAATGCCGTGATTATAAACTAATTACACAAACAGGAAAAAACAAGTGGAGAGACACTATTTCTTTTTCCCTTTTATTCAAACTAAAATGTTTATACACTAGTAATATGGAAACTGACCACCTCTTCAGAAATATGATTTCTCTATTTTTCCTTGGGGAAGCTACCTCTGCAACTTAATAATTATAGCTGGTCACTTAGCACAAACTTTAAATACCATTCCCAATGTTACATATTATCTAGGAATGCAGTTTAATCTAACCACTGACTTTTTGTTTTATCTCCTCCCTCAACATTCTGATCTTGATATAAAATGGAATTCCAATCATCAATATATCTCCATCTTTCCAATCATTAGAAATCCCACCTAAGTGCATTTTTGTATCTGTGGTTAACTTTATATTCAATTTTCTTCCCTGGTTTTGTTATAGGTATGCAGAAAAAAAAAATAGGTAGTAGCACTTATCTTACTAGGTAAGCTTCAATGATGAGGTCATTTACATAGTAGCTTCAGCCAAAATAAATAATTGGAGAATGAGCAAAAGAGCTCTAAATAACCAAAATAAATGTTCAAGTCCATTCACAAATTTCATTTATTTCAATCAGAGGACAGCATGCTCTTACTCAATGTTTTTATTCTTTCTATAAATAGAATTTTTAAAAATAAACGCAGTTGTTTACTAAAATGCATAAAGGGACTGTTTTTTCAGGCAGTGTTGCTTCTGAGTTTGTATCATGAGCAATGTAACATTAAAAATCATCTTCCTGAGAAGCAGAAAAGTTACAAGTTTCAGAACAAGCAACAAAAAGACTTTTTTAAGTGTTTACAAAAAAACAAAATGTCAACTATCACTGAAGTATAATTCCAGATAATACTGCACAACTAACACACAAAAAAAGTCCAGGGCAAAGAGTGCAGGAAGAAAAGGCCATACAGCAGATTCCTGTAAGAGGCAGCTGGACATGGTCCACCCTTCCAGGTACCAGCAAGAAGGGCCTGCTCCACAGTGCACACGGTTTAAAAGTAGAGCACTGCTGGGCAGGGCACCACCAGATCCAATGGCACACATTCCCAAGCACTTTGAAATACCAAGTCTGCCACACCTACTTCTCTTTTAACCCACCTACTGCCCCATAATCTATTGCCTCAAAGGCATAAGTCTCTGTTAAGCAGGATATCTAAACGGGTTATGACAGTAACTGAGCTTACTTACATGCTAGGAAGGAACTATACTAACTTAATGTCAGATGCTCGAGGGTTAGCAGTTCTGAATATTTAATAATTTTCTATTTTTAATTATTTTTTGAGATGGAGTTTCACTCTTGTTGCCCAGGCTGTGGATATGGTATTAACTCACCTTACACATAGGAAGGAACTATGCTAACTTAATGTCGAATGCTCCAGGGTTAGCAGTTCTGAATATTTAATATTTATTTATTTATTTATTTGAGATGGAGTTTCACTTGTGTAGCCCAGGCTGGAGGGTAATGGCATGATCTCAGCTTGCTGGAACCCCTGCTTCCAGCGATTTTCCTGCCTCAGCCTCCCAAGTAGCATGTGCCACAATGCCCAGCTAATTTTGCATTTTTTTTTTTTTAGCAGAGACAGGGTTTTGCTATGTTGGCCAGACTGGTCTTGAACTCTGACCTTAGGTGATCTGCCCACTTCAGCCTCCCAATGTGCTGGGATTACATGTGTGAGCCACCACACTTGGCCATATTTAATGATTTTTAAAAATACACGTTTTATTCTTTCAAATATGTTTATTCTTTTAAATACCATATTCCCTCCAATTTTGGTCAATTTGTAAATTATAAAGTATAATATTTGTGCTAAAGTTTGTAATATTTAAATGTTATTAGGCCAGGCAAGTGGCTCACATCTCTAATACCAGCACTTTGGAAGGCAGAAGTGGGAGGACAGATAGAGCCTAAGTGTCTGAGACCAGCCTGGGCAACATGGCGAGACCCCGTCTCTATGAAAAATTAAAAAATTAGTCAGATGTGGTGGCATGTGCCTGTGGTCCCAGCTACACAGGAGGCTGAGGTGAGACTACTGGAGCGCAGGAGGCTGAGACTGCAGTGAGTTATATTAGTGTCACTGCACTCCAGCCTGTGACAGACCAAGATCCCATCTCAAAATAAATAAACTTATTTATTAGAAGATAAGGCCAGGCATGGTGGCTCACGCCTATACCTGTAGTCTCTACTAAAAAAGAAAATAAAAAAATTAGTCGGGCGTGGTGGCAAGCATCTGTAATTCCAGCTACTAGGGAGGCTGAGTCAAGAGAATTGCTTGAACCCAGGAGGTAGAGGTTGCAGTGAGCTGAGATCATGCCATTGCACTCCAGCCTGGGCAACAAGAGTGAAACTCCATTTCAAAAGAAAAGAAAAAAAGAAATGAAGACAAGGACCAGGCCCATTAAAATGAAAAATAGATAAACACTATGGCTTCCCTACAACAGGATATTTCATGCATATTACAGGCAATAAGCCTTATCCACCCTCCTCCTTGAACAGAACGTTTCTGCTACACTTCTATGAAACTTTTCTTGAAAAGAGATTTCCATTTTAACAGCAGTATGGGAAAGGTACAGAGTAAACCTGCACTATCATTTCAACCTGATAGGACAACTTTTTATTATGGATTGCACTTCAGTCTCTTCCCTGTGGACAATCACAGGGAAGGCCACAGTGTGTCCCTGACCAGACACTGTATCCAAAGAGATAACTATGCTCATTAGGAAGAGAGGTTATACCCACACAGGGCCTTCCAGGGCACTTGGGAAGGTCTCACGCAGAAAGTAAAGCTCCACAAAATAAAAAGTTACACCAGAAAGTCTGACATAGGATATCCTCAGCTTCCCTTGACAAAGGAATTGTAAAAATGCCCTAAAAATGTCTGTAATCAGTAGTTATTAAAAGACTCTATCACTGACCTCCAATACTCTGAAGCTATGTCCATGCCTTGGCCTGACATCTAACTCTTGAAACTCGTCCGTTGGCAGACTTTTTTTCTTTTTTTCTTTCCCCCCTGAAACAAGGTCTCACTCAGTCGCCTAGGCTGGAGTGCCGTGATGCAATCATAGCTCACTGCAGCCTCAAACTCCTCGGCTTAAGTGATACACCTGTCTCCTCTGCCTCCCAAGCAGCTGAGACAGCAGAAGCAAATCATATCAGGCTAATTTTTTTTTTTTCTTGAGAGGGAGTCTCCCTCTGTCATCCAGGCTGGAGTACAGTGGGGCAATATTGGCCCACTACAACTTCTATCTTCCAAGTTCAAGCGATTCTCCTGCCTCAGCCTCCTGAGTAGGGATTACAAGTGTCTACCACCACACCTGGCTAATTTTTGTATTTTCAGTAGGTATGGAGTTTCGACGTGTTGCCCAAAGTGATTGGAGTTTTACTGGTGAGAGCCAACAGGCCTGACCTCTAATTATTTATTTATTTTGGGGGGTAAAGATATGGTCTCACTATGTTACCCAGACTGATCTCAAACTCTTGGCCTCAACCAATCCTCCCACTTTGGTCTCCCAAAGTGCTGGGGTTATGGTTGTGAGCCACCATGCCCTGCCAATTGATGATTAATTTCACTACGCTGTAGGATTTCACCTGAGTGTGGCAGCTGCTGTCCTAATAGCAGACAAAATGGAATGTTATAGTCACTAGCAACTGGAAAGTAGAAACATTCTGCTGCTGCTGATATGAGTAGTCAGAAATTACATGGGCTACAACAGTGTTTCCAATGATTCTGAAATCAGAAAATAGTAATATTTCCCTCTGAAGAGCCACAAAGCTTTCAGTCAACATGTTTTTCTAGGCCAGGCATGGTGGCTCCTACCTGTAATCCCAGAACTTTGGGAGGCCCAGGTGGGCGGATCACTTGAGGTCGGGAGTTTGAGACCAGCCTGGCCAACATGGCGAAACCCCATCTCCACTAAAAATAAAAAATCAGTCAGGCATGGTGGTGCATGCCTGTAATCCCAGCTACTAAGGAGGCAGAGACAGGATAACTGCTTGAACCCAGGAGGTGGAGGTTGCAGTGAGTGGAGATCGCGCCACTGCACTCCAGCCTGGGTGATAGAGTGAAACTCCGTCTCAAAAATAAACAAACAAACTGGCAGGGAGCCTCACTTTGGGAGGCTGAGGTGGGCAGATCACTTGAGGTCAGGAGTTCAAGACAAGCCTAGCTAACATGGTTAAGATCCCGTCTCTACTAAAAATACAAACAAACAAACAAACAAACTAGCCAAGCATGGTGGTGCATGCTTGTAATCCCAACTACTCAGAGGCTGAGACAGGAGAATTGCTTGAACCCAGGAGGTCAAGGCTGCAGTGAGCCCAGATTATGCCACTGTATTCCAGCTGAGGAAACAGAGCAAGACTCCAACTCAAAACAAACAAAAGAACACATTTTTCTACATTAAGCCTCTGATTACCAGGTACAGTAATCCCTCCTTATCCACAGGGGATAATTCCAAGACCCCCAGTGGATGCCTGAAACTGCACCATACACACACACACACACACACACACACGCACACACACACACAGTTTTTTCCTAAACATACATACCTTTGATAATGTGTACATTACGCACAGTAAGGGATTAAAAATAAAACAATTATAACAATATACTATGATAAAAGTTATATGAATGTGGTGTCTATCCCATTCTCTCAAAATACCCTATTGTACTGTGTCGGGGGTAACTGAAACCACAGAAAGTGAAAGTAGGGAAAGTGAAACCTGTCCAGTGGCACACTCCCATTCCCACAGGAGGACATGTGGCTGGACTTCCTCAGTGCCCACGCAATGGAGCCTCCCCAAGGGCTGCTGCAGCAATAGCTGCTCGCCTTCTTAGGGCTGCTCCAACTGGATTCACATCTGAGATGCCAGAAACACTGGGTGAAGCCTTCAATCCTAAAGGTA